CTTTTCCTGCACTCCAGTGCGTATCTTCACCGTCAGCGGGACGTCCAGCACCTGCAGAGAGGGCAAAGTGAGACAGGGCTCGGGTGGGAGCGGCTCCTCCAGCTCATGTCCTGCTGCCGGCGGGATGCTCCGACTCACCGAGTTCATCCCTCTGACGATCTGTTCAAACTTGTTGGAGCGAGTCATGAGAGCGCAGCCCCCTCCCTGTGGGACAAGAGGTGACACGGTCAAGACTTTATACCTCTTTGCAGAGGAAAGAGACTCCTGAAAGCTGCTCAAACAGCAGCCCTTTACTCATGAGAGGCAGATAAGGCTCACAGCATCCTAGGCCAGGAAAAGTTCAGTTCGAAATAGCACCTTGTCCCTCCCAACTTCTATCTACTGCAGGGCACCAGTGACAACAGAACATTCCTTGCTGTGTCAACAGGCTACTGGCCTCCTCAYTGAAGCATCTGTAAATAAACTGGGAGCTCTGGATCAGACTGGCAGGAGCRATCAGGCAGTGGGGGATGATGCGAAGGACAGACATTCACTGAGCTGACACAGAGAAAGAAGCTGCAGAGCAGCTTTTTACCTTCTTGTAGACCAGGTCAATGGGACACCCAACATTGATGTCTACAAAGTCCACCTCAATTGTCTGGTTCAGCAGCTCTGCACATTTGGTCATCGTGTCTGGAAATGCTCCCTCCAGCTGCAGAAAGGAAAGTCTGCATGAGCTTGAGAGGCAGCTGAGTTTCTCCTCGGAAGACATGAGTGTTCATATGGCAGCGTGCACTCACCTGCACCCCAAAAACATCCTCAGTGTGATGCCGTTTGAGGAGAGCCCACTCAGAGGACTGGCCCTGAAGGAGGTTGGTGCACACAGCCATTTCTCCACAGGTGACATCCGCCCCAAAGCGCTTGCATATCCTTCGAAAAGGGAGGTTTCCACACTGGAAGACACAAGGGATATCTGACTGTGCGTGCAGCTTGTGATCTGCACGGTTTGTCAGGAGATTTGCTCCATTCCAAACGTGCTGATGAAAAACTTGGGCAAAAGCAGAACTGAATAATCTACCTACTGTGGTCAGTGGAGCCAAATAGAGCTTGCCTTGGATTTCCAACTGGAAAACAGTCAGGGATGGGGGAAAACATGTTAGCAGAGCTGAACAAGCAGTGGCCAAACAGGAGGAAGAGATTCCAGTTAGCAATTTTCATCACCTGCCCAGGCTGAAGCTCAGTGGGAAGCTCTAATATTCCCTGGCTGAGYACTGCTTGCATAAAGGAAGGTGAAACTTAAACTGCTCAATACATTTTCACTGCTCAGCTTGGAGGAAACTCAAAGCAGTTTCAGAAAGAGAGGGATGCAAGACTGGCTGATGGATGCAATGCCAGAGGTGATGAGGAGCAGAAGGAGGAGGCAATACTGTCCCTCCCTCCATGACAGCACCATGCAGCACACACAAACCAAGCAGGCCCAAGTTCACTTCTCCCAGGAGATCATTTCCACCCTCACCGACGGCTCAGCCTCTGCTCTCCTTCACGTGCAAGGCACAGTCAGCTTCTCCYGGTCTTCCTCCCTCCAAAGTTAACACCACAGTTCCAAGCCTCGTGTTCCTGTATCCTTTCATGACAGCAATATTGTCCCAAGACAGCCCTGTCCTCTGCTAGCTCTCAGCCAGCTAAAATCTCTTTTCTGTGTTCCCAAGTGCAATCTCGGCCACTTGATGGGTACCCAAGAGARGGCGGCCCTCAGCAGAACCTCTCACCACTCACCTTTTTCTTCTCACATGGCCGCAGCTTTATAATGTCTTCATCTGTCACAGGGCCCATTGTTTTGATRGGGGAACCCTCCGAGGCATCCGCGACACAGGGACTCTCCAGGGCAGCGGGTTTGGGATCTTCTCCCTCCTCCGGCAGCACAGGATGTGCTGGGGCATCCCCGGGGCCCTCCTCAGGTGCTGTGCAGTTGGGCWCCTCTGTGGAGCCCCCTGAGGTTTTGTTTCCCTTCCCACCCTCGCCACGAGGCTTGCCCAGACGACGCAGGTACTCGTCAGCCTTCTCAAAGCTGAACTGCTTCTTGCGCAGCCGGTGCTGAAGGTCCTTGGGGAGGTTGTTCCTCACCAGCGACTTCCCTTCCCACTGCTTGGCCAGCTCCACGTTGATGACGTTCTGGTAGCCATCGCCGAGGTGGGCCTGGGCAAAGCGGCAGGTCACACCATAGATGCACCTGCCGAAGGTCGCGAAGAGCACGCAGTTTTGCCCCAGATCAGCCGGTTTCACAGCCATGTATTCGCTGATGTCATGAAGGAAGCGGCACCGCGAGCCGAAGTAGCACTTCTCTGCACACCCCTTAAACCACGRAAGAAGAAGGAGAGGTTAAAACCTCTGCTCTCGGCTTGCTCAGTTCACCATGCCCACAACTTAACATAGCCCAAGAGCCCAGAGCCATCCTGCCCCAGGAAGGGGCCAGATCAGCCGCTCTGGGCACCCACCGCTGCCTCGATGCCGCYGCGTCCCCTCCCACGGCCGGCAGCGCTGCGAAAACGCTCCCGCTGAACGCTACGAGGAAGCGGATCGCTGCGACGTGCCGTGGAACGAGGCACAGGTATTTAGTCACTTGGAGGGACGTTTTAACTCTAGAGTTTCAGAGAAACCAGTATTTTATTTGACTGCTCCATGCCAGGAGCTCCCAACGGTGCCGCTCCATCTTTAAGCRCCCCCCGGGATATGTTTCCTAGACGTAAAAAGTACTTCCCAACCAGCGGGGAATGTCCGGGGATCCCGAGTCGCCGCGGGCCGGAGCCCGGCGGGCCGGGCCGCTCTACCTGCGTCACCGACGGGCACAGCCTGCTCCTCTCGTAGTGATTTGGTTTCATGCAGGGCCTGCTCTTATTCTGCCCGCGGGCTCTTTTCCGCTGCCCGGGCTCCCTCTCCTCTCCCGCGGCCTCCTCAGCGTCCTCCGGGCCGTCTCCGTCGGCACGGGGCCCGTCCGGCCTCGCTCGCTTGGCCGGAGGCTCCGTCTGCTCGCGGCAACCCGGCTCCTCTTCCTCATCCTCCTGAGGGGCCTCCCGGCTCCGCGGTGCCGCCCGCGCCTTGAGGAACGCGTGGAACTGCTCCTTGGAAGTGAGGAACCTGCGGGGCGGGAGCGTYGCCGTCCGTGCGGGGGCCGCGGCCCTCCTCCCGGGGGTCACAGCAGGAAGAAACCGGGGGGCAGSGGGCAACAGGCCGCAAACGTGCGGGCTGCGGCACCCCGGGAGCGCGGGGCTTGTCTGGGGGGGTGCAGGGGTCGGGCACCCAC